CATGGAAAATATGTAGGTAGTAAAGTGTCTTTAATATAAGAAATGAATTACCATACTGAAAGTAAAAACTTACAAAGCTATAATTTTTACATAATTATTTTTTTATAAAACTAAAATACTTTTATCTATTTCAACTTTTAATAATGCTCCATATAGAATACAAAGTTTACTACATTTGCTCTTTATCAATATCAATGAAGCTTTTATTTTAAGAAAATTATAAAACCAACAAATCTTATCCTTACTTGCCATTAGCTCACCCCGCCCTCGATAAACTAACGTTAGGGTTATCTCACTATATTAATTGGATTAACACATTATCAAGGATAAGTACTGAGTGTTTAACACTGGTGTCCTTGGATTCAATTATAGGTAAACGGATTAGTTGCCCTTTTTATGAGGTTTTAATTGTTGTTTACCGCCGAAAGTGCGGTATTCTAACGTTAGTTTATGGAGGGCTGGTCGGCCTAATGCAGTAGGTGTGACAATGGAGGGATAAAGTGACTATGTTTAATCATTGAGGGATAAGTTTCATGGTAATACCCTATAAATACTGTATGTACTGCTGTAAGTTTGAAATGTGTGTAAACATATAAATGAAATAGTAATATTTTAAGTCTGAAATTGGCAAAAAATTAGGACACACTAAGTCTGGGCAAAAATTAGTTCTTACCAATCAGTCCTGCCATCAGTGTTTCAATAATGGATATCATAGAAATAACTACTTCCTTTAAAACTTAAATAAAAAATTAAAATGTATTATAAATTAAAATGTATAATTGAAATTAAAATGGGGGGATGAGTTCAGGAGAATTGTCCTGGGGACAACAGTCTGAGGGTAATGTGACGGGTGACAAATGTCTGGGAGGACTACCAGGGGAAAGTGTCCGGAGGAAATTGTCTGGGGATGAAATTGTCTGGGGATGAAATGTCCGGGGGAAACCAGCTTACAATTAGGTGCGAGCAGTGAGAGATTAGCCCTCTCAAATCATGGAAATGCTGTGTTCTAGTTAACAAAACAAATATTGTGTAGGCCCCTACAAAGTGAAGAATCATTATCATCCTGGAATCAGCACATTAAAGTGAGAACATGATTTTTTGAGCGGTTTGGCTGGATTTCAAATTGTGGCGCTGAGTACTGTATACGCCTTAGCACCACCCGGTCAGTGGAAAATACTGTAAGAGTAAACTGTACTACTATCCTACTATTTAGTACTACCAGGGAGTTTATTAAAGTGTCACTATAACAACTCCCTGGTAGTACTACTAGGCCTACTATTGATTCGATGATCGTTTGATAAAGTTGAAAGAATAACTGACATTATTTATGTAACTTACTGATTGAGGCCAACTTGCGACTTTGACTGCTCTGTATCTGTATCGCTCTAAATATTAATATTATATTTAACATAAAAATATTGTGTGTAACAGAAGTATGCCAACCTAATCTGCTCATAATGGTGAGTACTGTACCAAGAAACTTCAGACTGGGAATTTCCCAGATTGTTACTTTGAAATAAAATTGATATACTGCCCTCTATTGTGTGATACACAAAAACAAAACTTGAGACAAGCATTCTATTTTCATCCACATATGGCGTTGTCTCGATTGGTCCCACTTTCGATCCCCCTTTCGCCCTTCCCCCCTTTTACACATCTCATGATCCGCCCCTGACAAGTCTCACTTCCTGGAACGGTTTACACTTTTAAGGGGCGGATTCAGTGAGCCCCCAATAAAAAGAGATGAAAAAACGGAAGAAAAGACGGACAAATGGGTACACGTTACTTAAAAACAAATTAAATTTTCGATTAAAATATTCCATGTACTAGTACTATAGTTGTCTAGTATTCTTTTACGACAGATTAGGGATCAGGAAGTAGGGGAGGGAGGGGTAGAAGTAGGTTGGAGTAGGCCTGCATTGGAAGAAAGAGTTTAAGGTATACGAATGACTTTATGCAACTCATTAATCTGTTGATTTTACCGTTCTTTATGAAACCAACGTTTTGTAGACTGGTGTCAAAATGTAGTAACTTAATGTGCTTCTTTGTTTTTAGTTTGTTAGTTAGTTAACCTGTAGGTAGATTACAGAGCATTATGTTCAGTTACTTTTTTTCTGTTCTTTTGATATACTGTTGATTATAAGGATGCACCGGTAACTCACTGTAAACGTGTGCCGCCGATCTGATATCCAAATAAATAAATAAATTAGTACATGGAATAATGAAAATTCACCTTAAAAGATTTGTTGTCTCTGAAAAATAGCAAAAATCAATATTTAAAATTCACTCATTTTGAAGTAACGTAAAAACTATCAACTTAACCTAACATAGTGCAGTTTAGACAATTATTAAAGTAACATTTGGGGGTTTTTTGGGAGGGGGGTTTTAAAATGTTAAAAAAAAACCTAATAATAAAGGGGGATCCCGGTCCTCCCCCGGGAAAATGTTGATTCCTAGACAGTGTCAGGGAATGAGCTTTCCCGACTTCTGAGGTATCGTAATGACTTTAAGTTCTTCAAAATTCAAGGTTTCCCCTCTTGAAAACGGTCAGGCAGTTAGGCCTACTTTAGACCTAGCCGCCTATGTGTGCATATACTTACAAAATATATTAGTTGCATACGTAGGCCTATTCTTTTTTCCATGAATCGATGAACCGATAGGCATGAAAAACGAACTTTCGTACAGAAAAATATGTTTATGACTTCGAATCAAAAACAGTGTTTTCAATTTTATTTAATTGAAGGCTATATGTTAGTTTTGTAACTCATTGATTTACACAACTTGCATGCTTGATTTTGACTTCTCTGTATCCCTGAAAATAGATTTAACATCCGTCGATCCACCTGAGTACTGAAACTAAAAACCAGATGTTTATGTTGTTTATAAATTCGGTATAAACTATACATTTCTTGTTCCCTGTTTTAACCAGATGATATGGGTACGACTATTGGCTTACTAAAAAAGTAACAAAAAACGGCATTGAAACATTATAGACATCAATCATTGTAAAGACCCTCAGCATAGTAGGTAGTTATTGTCACAAATGACTGTATGCAGGAAGGGACAAGAGGGCGATGGCTGTGAAGGCACCACACTTCCCCTGCCGCCCGCCCATCCCCAAATATGAAAATCCCCCTTCCCCCCCCCCATTTATAATAAAATATAGGCCTATATACATCCCGAAAGTTATCGATGTTGAAATATCGGTAGGCTGTTCATCGATAGTGGGCTCTCGGCGTCTGAGTATTTTTTAAGTCAAATGACGTAGGGCTATAGAACAAACAAGTGCACTACCTGCACTGTGTAACCAGAAGTGACGTAAAGAAGAGATAATTTGTATTTTTGAGCCACCTGGTACATCGAATTAACCTCTCATTGATACGGCAATCAGATACGGTCTACGGACGCAACTATAGACCGTATACGTATTTCCAACAGAACAAGTTCTGAAAAAAAAAAACAAGAGCGACCACCGCTCACCAGGTCCGCGCGTTCCTCTATTCTTAAATACGCTACAGGCGCAAGTTATTATATTGGGTTTTTTGGAAGAACTAATAAGATAGAATTCTTTGATAATTAGAATGTTTATTTGTGCAAAAAAAAAAAAAAAAAAAAAACATTATTTAGAATGATCATTTGTCCAAAATTAGAATAAATAAATAAATTGGAAAAAAAACCCATGAATACCAAGACGCGTTATACTCTTAACCGACCGCGCCATTCATGCAACGTGCATTATTACGGTAGTGGTAAATGTCAGTAATGTACAGTCCTTGCTGAAACCCCTGTTTTGATTTGTAGGTGTAGGGGAACCCTGGGGTCTAACTTGTTGGAAATCCCCTCTAGTTTATGCGTACAAAATTTCCTGCACGTTCGTTCAAAACTGGCAACGCTGGACGCTTTTAAAGTTTTGGTAACAAGAACAAGAACAGCAGTGAGGCTCTGGGTCAGCGCTTCTTTACCAAAAATGGTAATTTTTACCAGATACCAGAACCAGAATAACAATCCATGTAAGATATTAATGCTCCACACAAAAAAATAAACTTTGAAAAAACTAAAATGAATTTTTGAACAGCCTCTCAAGTTCTCGTCCCTGCTTATATAGAAATCAATAGCGTTAATTACTGAAAACAAACTGCTTATATAAATTGTATGCATCGTTGTTAGTTAGAACATGGGGTTTTCTTCCTTCATGGTTAGAAGGACTGAAAATTACGTCTCAGAACAGTTTATAATAGTCCAATAGAAGGGGGGTGGCAAGGAAAGTACAGTACTTTCACAAATGGAGGGTCTTTAAAATTAAAATGCTCAGCCAGGACCTCATAGACGGGTGGCCATCAGATTGAAAGTGCTCAAAAATTGTTTTTCGTAGGTATCATTTGTTACAAGATGTCAACAAGATGAATCCTCATCACCAACTCTTGGCTCACACGGAATGGGCTGTTGCCATACTGAAATATGGATTTAAGTGCCAGATATGACAAAAAATGCAAAAGTACATACTTTTACCCAAAAAATCGTATTTTGAACAAACTAGTTTATCACTGAAAGACTCAATTTGAATATATTTGGTATCATACGAAAGCTAGTAAAATTATTACGACAGCTATGGTGTTAGGCCTATGAATTTACATTGGCAAAGCATAGAACTATAGAATGGTCTTTAAAATAGTTATTTTTACGACATTTGTCCACACAGTCCTTTCTTCTGAATTCAATTTATCATTGCTTAGATAACAGTACCGGTGGGTGTATGGACAAACATTATGATCATTTTGCAAAGATATTATAGTGTGTTTAATTGATAGATATGCTTAATAATTAATAGAAACTGAATATTGGAAACCGGGACTTCCTCAGTGATGTAAAGGTAATCACAGACGACGATAACGTAACAAAAGACGGTGATTAGAGTGACGTCATACTTATGCCTTTATGCTGAATGTTGATTTAAATTAATATTTCAATTGTAATTGTTGTTTTCGATCATGATGAGGACGACCAACATGGTGATGATGATGACGATGATGATGATGTTGATGACGACGATGATTTGTGTATAATAATGTTGAAAAATAGGCCTATATGAAAAAACGGTTGATAGAGCTTGGGTTTACCAGGCAGCAATTATACACGCACAAAGGAATCCGAAACCTCGCAATCAAAATCGACCTGTGACATAATTTGAGTACACAACCCATCGCGCACTATAAGTTTTGTCATAGTTTAGTGAAAGTTAAATCCCAGGTATCGTCCCCAATGCACCAGAAGGGCGCACTGGAAATAAAGTCTTTTCATAATAATAATAATAATAATAATAATAATAATAATAATAATAATAATAATAATAATAATAATAATAATAATAATAATAATAATAATAATAGTAATAGTAATAGTAATAGTAATAGTAATAG